AGAGAGAGAGAGAGAGAGAGAGAGAGAGAGAGAGAGAGAGAGAGAGAGAGAGAGAGAGAGAGAGAGAGAGGATGGTGCATTTGTGTGTCTGTGTGCCTGTGTTGTCATATTCGCTACACACTGAAAAAAAGCATGACTGTGTTAGACTGTTTCGTCGGACTTTCACTGACTCATCAGCAGGTCGAACCTCGACGGTCTACGCATGTGTGTATGTGCGTATGTGTGTGTTTGTATGTGTGTGCGTATGTTTGTGTGTGTGCGTGCGTGTGTGCATAGAATGGGTACAGAAGAGCTTACAGCAGCTTACAGTAGCTTAAGAGTAGCTTAAGAGCAGCTCAGAGTCCAGTTCACAACGTGGTCAAGTAGCTTAAGAGTTTCGACAACATCTACCATAGAGTAGCGCACAGTCCAGTTGACAAGGTTGCCGCCAATGTCTACTCCAGTGTCGACTCAAAATCAACTGTGTGCGGCAAACCGCCGTCCAGTCGACCTACTGGGGCAGTGCGCACGTGCCCAAAAAAAATGTTACTATACATTGTAGTGCGCTGCCCAGATACGGTGCCCAGTACCGGTGCTGCATCGGGCGTGACAGCACGCACTGCCCCCGTACTGCGTGCGATAGGCCCGGAAGACGTGACGGTACCGGCGCTGGCATGTGGGCCCCGTACTGCGCGTGATACGCACTGGCGTGCGGGACTGGCACCGGCCCTGGCGCGGTGCTGAGACGGTTCAATTTCTAAGGAAAAAGTTCCGAAAACGATCAGCAGACGGTCTGGACTGTCGCGCTGCAAAAAGTCAGCGGGCACCGATCGTCTGCTTCTCACAGGCAGGAAATTAGCAATAGTTATATATGTTGTGAAAAAGAGAAAAGAAAAACCCTATCCACCATGAGGCCTACTTCACACTGGTTGAGTACAACGACAGGCACAGCCCGAGGCCTAGCATCCAGCCCCTACTACGATCTGGACTTCAAAAAGAAAAAGAAGAAAAAAGACAGAGACCAAATTCACACTGGGTGCCTCCCTACTGGTTTAAGAGGGCCGAAACGAAGCGAAACGAAATTTATCAACGGTGGCCGTCGTCGGCCCCAACCCCCGTTATTTATTGACAGCGGCCGTCGTTGGGCCCAGCCCCGGTTATTTATCGACGGCGGCCGTTGTCAGGCCCAGCGCCTGTTATTTATCGACGGCAGCCATCGTCGGGCCCAGCCCCTGTTACTTTATGAGTAGGCTATTTTCCCGTTTTCCCAACAGCGGGAAAGGTAGTGGAAGAAAAAAGAAAACACTGGTTGAGTACAACGACAGGCACCCCCCGAGGCCTAGCATCCAGCCTCTACTACAATCTGGACTTAAAAAAAAATAAAAATTTGTCGGTGTAGTGATACTGGACTGAAGTCCTAAAACAGGGTGGTAGTGGACCCAGGCGCTAAAACAGGGTGGTAGTGGGACCCAGGCCCTAAAACAGGGTGGTAGTGGGACCTAGGCCCGTGCACTTGCGTTGGAAATTGTTGGAGTCGTCCTTCGGAACAAATTCAAGCTACGCTTGCATTAGAAATTGGATCGATTTGGAGAAGATTAGCATGGCCCCTTCGCAAGGATTAAACACACAAATTGAGAAATTGTCCAAATTAAAGAAAAAAAAGGAAATTGTTGTGGCCAAAAAAAAAAAACAAACAATTCTGTGATCTTCTTCTTCAAGTTCTTCTTCTTCTTCTTCTTCTGCAGGGGCCTGGACCCATTAGCGAAGTACTCTACCACTCCGTTCAGGATTTCGATCACGTGTGGCCTCGAGTGACGCAGTACGGCCGTCGAATGCATCGGATCTCGACGATATCGACGGCCTGGTAGTTTCCGAGCGGGGACTGTAAAGTTTCCCACCTCCGTCCAATGAGATGCGTCCAAAAAAAAAGAAAAACAGACTTGGACATGATAGCTCGTGGCTTTGCGTGGG